TCATCCTCCATGATGCCTTTCACTTAATCCATCAGTCAGTGAGCTGAGAAGAGCAACTGGGGTGGGGGATGGGGGCCACAAAATTGCCCAAGTCCTCGTTAACTGATCCTATAGACAAAGCTTGGATTCACAGCCTGAGGCGCCTGACACAGGTCATCCCAGGAAGGTGGCATATTCAGAACAGAGTGGGTCCTGTTACCATTCTATCTTGCCCAGGACTCCCCCAGCTAGTAAAGGATTTGAACCCAGGGTGGGTAACTCCAACACCTATGATCTTTCTGCCCTAACACACTGCTTCCTGCTGCTCTTTTCCTAGGGGAAGAGAGGTTAGAAACGGGTATACGGCTGCCCTTGCCCCCAGTTCTCATTCTTCCAGATAGGAGACTCCTCTCCCACTTCCTTGCTCTTTCAACCTCAGGTCCAAGCTGAACCCTGCCTGGCTCCACCACTCAGCCAGCTGGTTGGGCAGATGGGGCTGGGGAGTGCTGGGCACTGATGAGCACCAAGGGAGGTGACAGGCAGCACCGGGAACCCTGAGGCACATACAGCAAACACCTCTGGGATAGAGCCCACTGTGTCATTCTTTTGCCCTGGTTGTTCTACAGCTTGGCAGCAGGAATAGGCCTGACAGGAGAGGGTTGGCTGAGGGGAGGTGTGTGGGGAAGAGGATATTCAAAGAGGGGAGTGAGATCCTGACCTCTGCAGACAGCCCTGCCCAGCCCCCAGCCCAGAGTCAGGGTGGGGGAAGGGTTGAACCTGCCTCAATCTCTGAGAGAGATTTATTTCTTGACTTCCCTGAGGCCTTTGGAGAACTGCTGCAATTCTCAGCCTGGCCCTCATCTCCACACCTCCGCCAGCACCTCAGTTCCAACCCCAGGGCTCCGAGGAAAGAGTCCTGACATGAACTGTCAGGACACCACATATCCATCCAGCTCCCAGATGACCTGTGCTCAGGTGGTCTCGGAAAAGATGGAGCACAAATGTTGGGGTCTCTGATGCTGATACACACGCATCCCCCCTACACATGGTTTAAATGGACCCCCTCTCTGTGTGTGATGTAGTTTACAAAAGCCTCCCCTCTGCCCCCCGCACTATCTCAATTGTTTTAGCAGAGTCCTGGGGAGGGGTGGCAGGGGAGATGTTATGAGCCCATTTCTCAGATAAGGAACTCATAGTTCAAGGAATGTGAGCCATTTGCTCAAGTTCACACTCCCCAGAGCTCTGATCATAATAATACTGACAACACTCACAGCAGTTCACGTTTATTAAATGCAGAGCCTCGGGCTTGGTGTCTGTAGCTCAGTGGTTAGGGGGCCAGCCACGTACACCAGGGCTGGTGGGTTCGAATCGGCCTGGGCCTGCTAAACAAACAAACAAAAATAGCTGGGGGCGTTGTGGCAGGTGCCTGTAGTAGTCCCGGCTACTAGGGAGGCTGAGGCACGCGACTCTATGATGCCATGGCACTCTACAGAGGGTGACAAAGTGAGACTCTGTCTCCAAAAGAAAACAAAAAACTAAATGCAGAGCCTCGGTGCTAAGCACCTTCCACACATCTAACATTCACAACAGTCCCATGAGGAAGACATGATCAGCCCATTTTACAGATGATGAAACAGGGACTTAGAGATGTTGGATGATTTGGGGCAGCCACGTGGAGTCAAGCCCTACTGGGTGGAAACTCTGACAGGGCAGGCACATTGTCTCTCTGGGGCTCTTAACACCTGTGGGATGCTTGCTCACTGAC